AATGTAATGGTGAGGTTGGTTCTCCTTTAAATTCGTATGTCTGTCTGAATATCTCTATTTTCTGTTTTAATAAGTTCTTAAGGCTTGTAACTTATCAGTCAAAATCGCATTATTTTCTTTAGTAATTAGTTGTAGGACTTGAATATTATCAGTAGCAACCTTTTCTAAGGCCTGTATCATATGAGTCAGTTTTTCATATTTGGCACAGTTATCAAACCATTGTTTAAGGATAAAATATGAATTACCAGACTGGTAATCATTATGACACACATTATATCAACCCTAGTTAGTTTGCCTATCTCCTTATTTATTTGTTCCATTTTCAACCATCCATTGTGACACCATGCAGAGACCTAAGTCCCTCCATCCCTATATTGTTTCCTATTTTTAACATGGGGGAAAAACTTTTTTAAACTAATCTCCCCCTTTAAGAATTTCCAGTCGTCAGGCTGAAGAGATGGCTCAGAGGTTAAGAGCACAGACTGCTCTTCCAAGGGTCCTGAGTTCAATTCCCAGCAACCACATGGTGGCTCACAACCATCCATAATGAGATCTGGATGCAGGATGTGGTATTCATAATAAATAAATAAATCTTTAAAATAAAGTGTGTAAAGAAGAAGAATTCCCAGTTGTCACACAAAATCTGCTGCTGATAAAGTGAAGTGTGAGGGTGGCTGTTGATACACAGTACAGTTGGGCAGAGAACATAGATGGCTCACACACTGGCTGAGGGCAGCTGCAGCTGCTCACGTGTAGTGGTGAGCTGAGAGTGTGTAGCTGTTGCAACAACAATAAGAAACCCAAGTGGGGGTCAAGGTGCCTACCTACTGTGGCAGCAGCCTGAGGAGGGGGTCCAAGGCAAACCTGAAACCCACAGGGAGAGGGAGCCAGCTGTCTGAAAAATGGACACAGGGGATGGGACAGAAGAAACACGTGTGTCAGGAGCTCCTTGAAGGCAGAGCCAGTTGGCTGTAGACAAGTAAGTCTGATGGTATTTGAAGCCCAGGTGCCTCTGGAGTCCGGGGCCTGTGGAGTTTGGGTGACAAAAAACCCAGACTTGCCGGGCATTTGTGGTGCACACCTTTAATCCCAGCAGAGGCAGGCTGATCTCTGTGAATTCGAGACCAACCTGGTCTACAAGAGCTAGTTCCAGGACAGCCTCCAAAGCCACAGAGAAACCCTGCCTCAAAAAACAAAGAAAAAAAAAAGAAAAGAAAGAAAAACCCCAGACTCACAAGGGCTTGGAGAAAGAAAGGAAAAGCTAGTTAGTGGCATAGTGGCTTCTGTGAGTTTAGCTCTGGAAGCTGCCAGTGGCTGCAAAGCCAGGGACAAGTGGCTATCTTGTGAATTCATGCCCCTCATTGGGCGCCAGATGAGCCTTAACTATTTTTTTAAGATTTATTCATTACATATACAGTGTTCTGCCTGCATGCATGCATGCCCTCATGCCAAAAGAAGGCACAAGATCCCATCACAGATGGTTATGAACCACCCTATGGTTGCTGGGAATAGAACTCAGGACCCCCTGGAAGAACAACCAGTGCTCTTAACCACTGAGCCATCCCTCCAGCCCCAGCCTTAACTATTCTTTATCAATAAAAAAGTCAGGAATCAGATATTGGGGTAAAGCCCGAAAGATCAGAGAAGCAGGGGTAGAGCCACCAGTCACCCCTGCCTCTTCCGTTCCTTTCTCCATAAGAGCTGAGATCCTCTCTTACCCCTGCCTTACTACTTCCTGTTTCCTATCTGTCTACAGTCCTCAATACCTCTATGGTTAATTTTGGTCAGCTGGTGGCCAGTTCTACTCTCTAACTCCAAATATCACACAACATGCCTGCTTGTCTGTATGTGCAGGTACTCTTGCAGGTCAGAAGATGGCAGTGGATTTCTTAGACCTGAAGTTACAGGCAGTTAGTTGGAAGCTACTATGTAGATGCTAGAAACTGAACCTAGGTCCTCTACAAGAGCAGCCAGTGTCTCAACCATGGAGCTATCTCTTAAGCCCTGTGTCTAGCATCTTTAAAAGCAACAAGACTGTTATATGCCCAACAGAGAAAACATATATTAAACAAACTTCATTTAGACATGAACTGTAGGGCCATAAACCATGTTTAAAAAATCAGCAGCATATATTAAGTAAAATGTATTCAAATAGAAATGCATATAGCTAATTGATAAAAATTTTGTGAACAGAGGCCTACAGAAACCTAACTCTGTTTCCATAGTAACAGTAACCTTATAAAATATAACTGTTATGAAAAATGAGAATCAAGCCTGTGCTGTAAGGATTCTAAGGGAGCAAGATGCAGGGCAAAACAACAAACATCAGAATAAAAGAGAAGAGGTGGGCCAATGACACTTGCTGCCAAGCCTGATGATTAGCTCCAGTAAGTTGTTCTTTGATATCCACATGCACATGAACATGTGACATCCATGTACCAAATCAATGGCAAAATGAAAAAAACCATTTTGAAAACTGAAACATAAAAGGAGAGACTTAAAACTGATAAATGTAAATGATCATGCATATACAAAGTCATGCTATTTTTCTAGCCATCTCATATGCCAGAGTATACAAGATTATTAGAGATAGCAGTTTGTTGAAGTGTCTCAGCCATCCTTGAAGATGATACTTGTCTTCTTTTTAAATTTTAACTAATTAAATTTTTACTACATTTTATTTGTGTATCTGTTTGTGGGGGGGGAGGAGTTAATGAGCTTGCCACAGGTGTATGTGGAGGACAGAGGACACTAATGAGAATCAGTTCTATCCTTTCACAGTGTGAGTATTGGGTGTTGATATTTTGTTTTTAAAAATTGAATCTTACTGGGTGGTGGTGGTGGTGAATGCCTTTAATCCCAACACTTGGGAGACAGAGACAGATGGATCTCTGTGAGTGTGAGGCCAGTCTGGTCTACAGACAGAGTTGCAGGACAGCTAGGGCAGTTACACAGAGAAACCCTGTCTCAAGAAAAAAACAAAAACAAAAAAAAACCTGGCCGGGCGTTGGTGGCGCACGCCTTTAATCCCAGCACTCGGGAGGCAGAGTCAGGCGGATCTCTGTGAGTTCGAGGCCAGCCTGGTCTACAGAGCGAGTTCCAGGACAGCCTCCAAAGCCACAGAGAAACCCTGTCTCGAAAAACCAAAAAAAAAAAAAACTAAACTAAAAATAAAAACCAAAGCATGAGTTTTGAATACACAAGCAAGTCTTCAGATTGCCACTGATTGAGGTTCCAAAAAGGTATTTGACAGCTCTCATCCACTCCTGCCAGCTGCCATTATCTTCCAGGACACTACTGTGGAAGGCAGCCAGGAAAGCAGGCTGTGCAGCCTGTGCTGTGGGGCTGCAATCTCCTTTCTCTTGTGGCACGTGCTCGGCTGTCAGCATCTTTCTTGTATATTGATCTGTCTTATGCTTAATCTGCTTCATGTTGTGTTTATTAATAGAAGACACTGTTTGCATTTGAAATGGGCCTACAATGGGCTTCTAACAGTCAGTCAGTAACAGGTTTGGCTTGAGTAGTGACTAGGAGGGAAGTGAAACACTTTGGGGCAGATGGAAAAAGGGAGCAGAATAGAAATCCAAATTTTGGTATGAGTAAGATCCTCAATACTCAGCATTTGGAACCAACTCCCCAGCCATGTTTTTAATGTTTATAATGTTCAGTTGAACTCTTTCCCTTTTTTTTTTTTTTTTTTTTTTTTGGTTTTTCGAGACAGGGTTTCTCTGTGGCTTTGGAGGCTGTCCTGGAACTCGCTGGGTAGACCAGGCTGGTCTCGAACTCACAGTGATCCGCCTGCCTCTGCCTCCCGAGTGCTGGGATTAGAGGTGTGCGCCACCAACGCCCGGCTGAACTCTTTCCCTTAATTTTATTTTCACTATGTATTTCATTTCTCATCTTCTAGTGCTTCTTTTTCTTTCTTTCTTTCTTTCTTTCTTTAAGCCCCCAGTTCACTCTGTAGCTGATGCTGGGCTCAAACTCAAAATCACTCCTGCCTGCTGTGGAATAGTCCTTTATACATTGTGAAGATGTGTTGCTGTCTTGGGTTTAATAAATAGCTATCTGGCCAATAACTAAGCAGGAAGAGATTAGGTGGGAGGTGACAACCAGCCCGACACAGAAGAATCAGGACCTGCATCAGATGATGTAATAACTCATGAGCCAAGTGGCAGGATATAAATTAATAAAAGTGGGTTAATTTAAGTTGTAAGAACTAGCTAGTAACAAGCCTAAGCTATTGGCTGAGTTTTATAATTATTAGTAAGTCTCTGTGTGGTAATTCAGGAGCTACAGACAGTCCTGTATTTTGAAGTTAAGACCTTCTCAAAACAAACTACATTCTAGAATTGAACTCACAGAGATTTGCCTGCCTCTGCCTCCAGAGTGCAGGGATTAAAGGTGTTCGTCCCCACCGCTCATCTCTCAAACTCATTTCTATATGTGGTATTCTCTAAGAATGGTTGTGGATTTGAGGTCCTACACAGTGTAAGCCTGGAGATGAAAGAAACCGGTTTTTCCCCCAACACATGTGACCAGAGGGAGAGTAAGCCTAGAAATTTTTGACTGTTTTGAGACAGGGTTTTTCTGAGTAGCAGAGCTCGCTCGATCTGTAGACCAAGGGGACCTCAAACTCAGAGATCTGCCGGCCACTGCCCCCCAGGTGCTGGGATTAAAGGCATGCCCCCCCCCCCCGTCCCTGTCCCCCGTCTCTGTCCCCAGTCTCCGTCCCCAGGCTAAGAAGACACTTAAGTATAGCAGCAGTGCCTGCTGTCAGTGATGCTCTCCGGTGAATGTGGAGGCAGGTGTTGCTGCTGCTGGCAAAGCCGATCAGAAGGCAGGGAGGCACCGTAGGGACGCAGAAAGCACTAGATATCTTCACCAGCTGGAGCTGGTCATGCTCTGCTGCCTGAGGAAACGGGAAGGAAAAGCGTTTGTTGTGGCTCTTAGAGGGTAATTACAAAAGCAGGTACTAAGCAGGAAGAACCAGAAAAAACACTTCTTTAACCCCGTTCAGCAGCTGTAGAAAAATGCCTGGGCGGGCTCAAAGAGTTTTAGAAGTACACATGACAAGCAGACATAAGAGGCAAGTGTCGATCTGAGACAGAAGCTGAGGGGATACTGTGACAGGGGACCCAAGTCTCTCTTGAATCCCGGGTGATGCTCTGGCCTTGGCCTTGGCTCAGACTCTGATAGAGGAGCCAAGCAAACAAGCCAAGAGGAAAGCTAAGCCGAGTGACCCCAGCCAACTGCCAACCTGAATCTACTTTTCTCAAAGCATTGCCACGGCTAGGTAGCTACAGTTGTCCTATTTGATGTACAGGTCACAGCTTCCTGTCTCCCTTATGAAGTCAGCTAACTTATCCCTATTTCCAGAGGCCCTCAAAACTGTCTTACAAATTTAATACTTCAGAGTAGGCTGCCCTGGATGTTGCTGAAGGAGTCTATTGGAGTACTTCCATTCCTGTCTCTTCTTAAACGTTTGATTTAGTATTCTTTTCTGCGAAAAAAAAGGATATATAAAAATGTATGTTATAATAATATATATAATGTTTACCATTTTTTAGAACATACACTTAGTGACATTAAGTATATTCAACATGTTATGTAATCATTACCAATATCCCTTTTTCATGATTCAAAATAAAAACTTGGTGCCCATTAGGCAGTAATATACCAGGCCTAGGTAACCTGTAGTTTCCTTTCTGTTTCTCTGAATTTGCCTATTTTATCTTGTACAAGAGGAATTTGCCCAGGATTGGAGATTTAGCTCAGTGGTAGAGCGCTTGCCTAGAAAGTTCGAAGCCTTGCGTTCAGTCATCAGCTCAAAAAAAAAAAAAAAGACAAAAATAACAAAAAAGGCCAATGATGGCACACACCTTTAATCCCAGCACTCAGGAGGCAGAGGCAGGTGGATTTCTGTGAATTCAAGACCAGCCTTCTCTACAAGAGCTAGTTCCAGGAGAGCCCCCAAAGAAACAGAGAAACACTATCACAAAAAAAAAAAGAAAAGAAAAGAAAAGAAAAAAGAATTTGCCATTTATCTGGCTTATTTTTCTTAACATGCTTTTTTTTGTTTGTTTTTGTTTTTGTTTTTTGAGACAGGGTTTCTCTGTATTATTTTGGAGGCTGTCCTGGAACTCGCTCTGTAAACCAGGCTGGCCTCGAACTCACAGAGATCCGCCTGCCTCTGCCTCTTAACATGATTTCAAAATTCATCCATGCTACAGAATGCATCAGAATTCATCCCTTTCTAAGGCTGAACAATATTCCATTGTATGCATATACCATATATATTATTTGTATGCTGATAGACACTTGTGTTGTTCCCAGCATTAGGCTGCCGTGAATAATGTTTCTACAAACATTAGTCTGCAGTCTGTTTGAGTCTCTGACTTCAATTATTTTGACTCCGCATAGAGGAGCGCAACTGCTAGGTCACATGGTCATTCTATTTCCCATTTTGTGGGACTGCCACATAGCGGCATCGTTTCACATCTCCATGAGCAGTGCACACAGGCTTCAGTTTCTCTGTCTTTGCTAACATTTGAGTTTGCTTATTGGTTTTGGTAATTGCTATTCTAAGAGCTGTGAAGTAGTACCTGGTGTTTTACATTTGTAATGATTTTTAAATTATTTTCCTGTGTATGAATGCTTTGCCTGTGCGTATATGTGTACACCATACATGTTGCTATATGTGTACACCATACATGTTGCTTGGTGCCTGCGGAAGTGAGAAGAGGGCATCAGCTCCCTGGAACTGGAAACAATGGGTGGCTTTGAGCTATCACGTGGGTGCTTGGAAAGGAACCCAGGTCCTTTGAAGGATCAACAAGTTCTCTTAACTGTTGAGTCACCTCTCCAGCTCCTTTTACATTTTTTAAAGATGTTTTAACTTTCATTTTTGTGTGCATCAGTGTTTGCTTGCATGTGTGTATATGTACTGCAAAAGTAAGAAGTGGGCATTAGATGCCCTGGTACTGCAGTTATAGATGGTTGTAAGCCACCTTGTGGGTCCTGGGAATTAAACTTGGGTCCTATGCAAGAGCAGCAAGTACTCTTAACCAACGATCCATCTTTCCAGCACCCCCAACATGTTTTTGTTTGTTTTTCAAGGCAGGGTTTCTCTGTAGTTTTGGAGCCTGTCCTGGAACTCTCTCTGTAGACCAAGCTGGCCTTGAACTCACAGAGATTCACCTGCCTCTGCCTCCCGGGTACTGGGAATAAAGGCGTGCACCACCACTGCCAAGCTTTTTTTTTTTTAATGTGTTCATATTCATGAATGTGTGTGTAAACTAAGGGATATCTACCAGTTTTGAGGCAGTTTCTTACTGGCCTGGAGCTCACTAATTTGGATAGACCGGTTGGCCTGCAAGCACATGATCCTCCTGTCTCTACCTCCAAAGTGCTGGAATTACAAACTCACTGGCTAGGCATTTTTCCCCCCATAGGTTCTAGAGATCTAACCCATCTTCACACTTGACTTGAAGGCAAACATTTTACCAATCCAGCTATTTCTCAACCTTCTTGTTATGGATTTTTTTGAGACAGGATTTCTGTGTAGCTTTGGAGCCTGTCCAGAACTCACTCTGTAGACCAGGCTGGCCTCAAACTCACAGAGATCTGCCTGCCTCTGCCTCCCAACTACTGGGATTAAAGGCATGTGCCACCACTGCCTGGCTTAATTGTGATTTTTATTTGCATTTCTCTAATAATTTATACTGATGTGCCTGTTTTTACATGCTTAGTTCATGTATTTCCTGTGTGTATCTTCTTTGGAGAAACAAATTCTATGGCCAGGGATGATGGCACAAATCCTAACACTTAGGAGACTAAAGAAGGAGGGTTGAGTTTGCTAAGTTACACAAACAGTTCAAGTCCAAGCAGGCAACTTAGTGAAACCGTATGTCAAGATAAAAATAAAAATTGAGTTGCTGGGCATAGTGGTAGTCAGACTCTAATCCCAGGATTCACGATACAAAGGGAGGTAGAATTCTATGAATTTGAAGGCAGTGAGTTCCAGAACAGCCGGAGCTATGCTGTAAGATCCTGCCTCAAATTAAATAAATGAATAAATAAATGTAAAGGACTAAGGGTGTAGCCCAGCAGTTGAATACTTGAAATAGAATGATAGAATGGGACTTGAAGAAAGTCGGAGAGGAGAGGAGAGGAGAGGAGAGGAGAGGAGAGGAGAGGAGAGGAGAGGGAGGGTGGGAATGATTGGGTGAGCAAGAGTAGGAGGGGCTTTTAGAGTCAGAGTGGGTTTTTAAAGTCTCTGGACCATTTTAAACTCAGGTTCAAACGTCTAAACAGGTCATTGCCTCCTGTGGCAAAAGCTTTCAATTTTCATGATGTTGGTTTACTTATTTTTTTTCTTTTGTTGTGTTTGCTTGCAAGAAATAATGAACTAATCTAATGTCATGAAATTTTTTCCTAAAATTTTCTCCTAAAAGTTTTAGGAGTTTTAGGTTTTGCTTTTTTTTTTTCTTTTTAAGACAGGGTTTCTGTGGGTAATAGTCCTACTGGCCTGAAACTTGCTCTATAAACCAGGCTGGCCTCGAACTCACAGAGATCCACCTGCCTCTGACTCACAAGTGGTAGGATTAAAAGTGCTACCACTGCCTGACTGAGATTTTTTATCATAATGAAAAGTAAGGGTTCAGTTTTATTTTTTTGTATATGGATCTCAAGTTTCCCAGTAACATTTGTTGAAAAGATGAATACTTTCCTATTTTCATTATCTTTTATCCTTGTGTTTTTATTTTCCCTATTAGGAATTACTTAAACCATAAGCAACATATACTATATGTAAATATGACAATAAATCCAGCTATTATATTGAGAGCTACATTAACACTACAAATGTTCTGTTTTCCTCCTCCTCTTCCTCCTCTTCCTCTTCTTCTTCTCCTCCTCCTCTTCCTCTTCCTCCTCCTCCTTCTCCTCCTCCTCTTCCTTTTTTTCTTCTCCTCCTCTTCTTCCTCCTCCCCCTCCTTCTGTCCTTCTTCTCCTACCTCTCTTCCTCCTTCCTTTTTTTCCTTTCTGAGTCTTTGAGACAAGGTCTTGCTATGTAGCTCAGTTTGGCCTTAAACTCACTTTTTCACCCAGGCAGGCCTCAAACTTACAGCTATTGGTATGGGCCACCATGCTGGTCTTCTAATTTTTTTTGTTGTTGTTGTTTGGTTTCTCCTCTGTCTCCTTCTCATTCTTCTCGTACTATTCCTCCTCTTCTCCTTCTTTTTTATTGTCATCATCTTCTTCTTTTTGTAGGGCTAGGGATTGAACTGAAGACCCTGGCATGTTAGGTAAGAGCTTTATCAGTGAACAATACCCCAACCTCTCAATTTTACCTCATTTATATTGTATAATGACTCAGCATAAATGACTTCAATTAGTCAGTTTACTTCTAGTCCAGTTACTGCTGCAGAAACCTACTTTTTGGGGGCATAATTTGTTTTCTACCCCCCAGAACATGGAGACTGAAGTAAGGGACACCTGAAAAGATCGGGCCTCACAATACGTCAGATTGACAGACACATGGAGGCAAATCTTAACGCATATGTGCAGGATTAAGTTCTTTCCCACCTCAAGGGGTCAGCTCTAAGGTATATGCCACCACTGGCCAACATTTTTAAGTTTTTTGAGACAAGATCTCACTCACACTGTAGCCCAGGTTGGACTACAATTCACTATGCAGCTGAGGCTGGTTTTGAACTTACAGCAACCATCTTGTTTTAGCCTCCTGTGTAACTTGCCCAGACTTTCCTAGGACTTCCTGTGTAGCCCAGGCTGAACTTCCTGTGTAGTCCATGTTGACCTCAAACAGATGCCCACTTTAGTAGAATATTTTCTTTAAAACAGTAATATTCCTTATATTACAGCCTTGTATTTCTCCAACAACAAGACAGGTTGAAGGGTCAGATTAGCTATGAGAAAGAATCAAACTGAAAAGGTAGGCCTTGATGAAAAACTAGTCTGCCATGATGTCTTTGTTCATAGGGTCATTAGAAGGTAGTTCAGAATTGGTCAGAGACATTTAAAGGCACTGCCTTACTACCTAGTCAATTTCAGTCTATTCCTTTTTTTAAAAATCCAAGATAGGTTGTGAGCCTTGCCTTTAACAGCTGAGCCATCTCTCCAGCCCAAGGCCCAGGATAGCCAAAACATCCCTATACAATAAAGGAACTTCAGGAAGCATCACCATACCTGACTTCAAGCTCTATTATAGAGCTATAGTCCTGAAAACAGCTTGGTATTGGCACAAAAATAGGCAGGTAGACCAATGGAACCGAATCGAAAGCCCTAATTTTACCCACACACCTATGAGCACTTGATTTTTGACAAAGAAGCTAAAACTGTACAATGGAAAAAAGAAAGCATCTTCAACAAATGGTGCTGGCATAACTGGGTACTGGTATGCAGAAGACTGCAGATAGATCCATGTTTATCGCCTTGTACAAAACTTAAGTCCAAATGGATCAAAGATCTCAACATAAATCCAGCCACACTGAAACTTTTAGAAGAGAAAGTGGGAGATAGTCTTCAACGAGTTGGTACAGGAGACCACTTCCTAAACATAACACCAGTGGCACAGGCACTGAGATCGACAATTAACAAATGGGACCTTCTGAAACTAAAAAGCTTCTGTAAGGCAAAGGACACAGTCAAAAAGACAAAAAGGCAGGCCACAGAATGGGAAAAGATATTCACTAACCCTACATCTGACAGAGGGCTAATCTCCAAAATTTACAAAGAACTCAAGAAACAAGTCTCCAAAACACCAAAGGATCCACTTGAAAGGTGGGGTACAGAGCTAAATAGAGAATTCTCAATAGAGGAGGCTAAAATGGCCAAGAGACACTTAAGAAAGTGCTCAACATCCTTAGCCATCAGGGAAATGCAAATCAAAACAACTCTGAGATACCATCTTACTCCTGACAGAATGGCTAAAATCAAAAACACCGAAGACAATTTATGCTGGAGAGGATGTGGAGAGAGAGGAACACTCCTCCACTGCTGGTGGGAGCGCCGACTCATACAGCCTCTTTGGAAATCAGTATGGAGATTCCTCAGGAAAATGGGAATTAATCTACCACTAGACCCAGCAATTCCACTCTTAGGCATTTATCCAAATGAGGCAGGTTCATACAACAAGGGCATCTGCTCCACTATGTTCATAGCAGCATTGTTTGTAATAGCCAGAACCTGGAAGCAACCTAGATGCCCCTCAACTGAAGAGTGGATAGAGAAAATGTGGTACATTTACACAATGGAGTATTACTCAGCAGAAAAAAAACAATGGACTCTTGAAACTCGCAGGGAAATGGATAGCACTGGAAGAAACCATCCTGAGTGAGGTAACCCAGTCGCAAAAAGACAAACATGGTATGTACTCACTCATATATGGATTTTAGACATGGATCAGGATAGTGCCAGTCTGCACTTCCACAGATAGAGAGTCTGGGAAACAGGAAAGAACCTAAAAGATATGCATATATGCATAGTACCCAAGAGAAGAGGATGGAGACAAGATCCTCTGAATGGATGGGGAACATGGCGAGGGTTGGGGGGGAGTGGGACCTGGGAAGAAGAGAGAGGGTGAAGAGGAAGGGAGTTGGTCATGGGGGAACAGAAAGTTGAGGGGATGGGGGTAGAATAGGGGGAAGAGGGAATCATAGGATCGAATACAGATCAGGCACCAGAGCGACCTCGAGTGATCTGAAGGGATAACACCAATTGGCAAGCTAAGCAATAGTGGAGGGACCACCTCGAATGCCCATCCCTGATAATGAACTTGATGTCTATAACCATCTGGGAGCCTTCATCCTGTGACTGATGGAAGCAGAGGCAAACACACAATTAATCACTGAACTGAACCCAAGGAACCCAGTGACAGAGAGAGAGGAGTGATGAGCAAATTGGCAAAGAATGGGCTGGCAAAACCAGCAGAGACAGCTGATCTGAACAGGGGAGAGCTCTTGGACCCCAGACCGACAGTGGGGAGGCCAGCATGGGACTGATCTGGACCCCCCAAATGTGAGTGTCAGTGAGAAGGCCTGGGCAACCTATGGGGCCCTGAGCTGTGGATCAGTGTCTATCCCTGGTATACAAACTGTCTTCGTGTGCCTATAGCACAAAGAGAGATGCTCTCTCAGCCTGGACACTTAGGGGAGTGCCTGGACCCTACCAAGAGTAAAATGACAGACTCTAGATATCCCCTATGGGGAAGGATTTGGCAATAGGGTGGGAGAGTGGGGGGAAAGGGGGGTGGGGGAGGAGGGGAGGGAGAGGGAACTGGGATTGACATGTAAAACAAGCTATTTAAAATTAAAATAAAAAATGATAAAAAAAATCCAAGATAGGGTTTCTCTATATAACTCTGGCTGTCCTGGAACTCTCTCTGTAAATCATCTCGGCCTTGAACTCAGAGATTCACCTGCCTCCGCCTCTAAGTGCTGGGATTAGAAGCTTGTGCCATCACACTAGGTGCTAGAGTTTGAACCCAGGGTTTCATATGCTAGGAACTCCCTCTACTAAGTGAGGTACAGATCCAGGCCCCATCATAGCATTTCCTTTTTCCTTTCTTTTACTATTTTTCTTTCTTTTTCTGTGTGTGTTTTCAGACAGGGTCTTTTTCATGTAATCCTGGCTATCTCACTATGTAAGCCAGGCTGGCTTCAAGTTCAAGGATTCACCTGTCTCTGTCTCCTGAGTGCTGGGACTAAAGCCCGAGCACCACCACACCTGGTTTTCAGTATTTTCTTTCTTTTTTTTTTAAAATATTTTATTTATTTATTGTGTATACAGTCTTCTGCCTGCATGCCAGTGGAGGGCACCAGATCTCATTCAAGGTGGTTGTGAGCCACCATGTGGTTGCTGGGAATTGAACTCAGGACCTCTGGAAGAACAGTCAGTGCTCTTAACCGCTGAGCCATCTCTCCAGCCCTCAGTATTTTCTTAAAACACAAAGGAAAGTCTGAGAAAACTTTTTTTCCCTTTCTGGGATGGCACCCAGGGCTTTGTGTATGCTAGGCATGTGTCCTACCTACTGCCTATAAATGGCCCCCACAAGCCTTGAAATAGACTTCATGATGAAATTCAGCCCTTGAGTACAAGCTTTGTCATAAAGGGGTTAATTCCTGCTGTGCAGTGAGCCCAGTCAGCAGGAGAAGATGCAGGAGAGATGACCTGCTAGTCTGCGCTGTAACATATCAACATATACACATATCCCATGACTAATGTGAAGAACAGGAGCTGACAGTGGGGAGAAGGTGTGCAAAGAAATAAGTGGAAATTGTGACGAGTGGGCGTGTAAGCCAAGTTCCATCTTAGAGGTTAGCAGACCATTTAGATATACTTTGTTGGTCTCTAAGCTTTATCATTTAGTTAGTGTAAAATGGAACTTTAGTTTTCACTTTTAATACTTTTTAATTAATTAGTTTTCAAGATTAATTAAGACTGGTGCTGGTGGCACACATCTTTAATTCCAGCACTTGGGAGGCAGAGGCATGCCAGTTTCTGAGTTCAAGGCCAGCCTGGTATGCAGAATGAGTTCCAGAACAGCTAGGGGATACACAAAGAAACTCAGTTTTGAAAGTTAAAATAAATAAATAAACAAATAAATATAAAGACCAAGTCTTACTGTGTAGCCTAGGCTGGCCCCAAGTGCTGGGATTAAAGGTGTGTACCGCCACCTCCCAGCAGACCTTATGTATTATTCTGCTCTACTACCGAGCTACACCCTCAGCCCCATGCTTGCCTGTCTTGAAGCATACTGCATTGGGAAGATAACAAGGCGCTCTATTCGTTCTCTTTGTCTGATAACATAGTGTAGATTTAGGGCAGAAATGCTGAGATCAACTTTCTATCTTCCTGCCTCAGCACTGGACAAAGAAAACCAAAGTGAAAGAACTGCTCTTCTACAGTACAGTGTTCTGTTCTAATTTCCATTTTTTGTAGAACTTCCAAATGAGTACACTATGTTTGCATAATTTCTACTCTTCTGAAACTCCTGTCCTTCCAACTACCCCCTCTTGGATTTGTGACTTCATATAGATATGTATATATTAAGTTCAATTAGTATTACCTTTAATTTGTGTGTGTTTAGGTCTGACCATACTTAGGATTGAAATCTCAACCATGGAAAAAAAATACAACTGTCTCTCCCTGCATCAGCAACTGTTTACTCCCTTGAGCCTTTATCTTAAACTTGGCCTTGTGGCACTCATTGCTGTCTGAGGGCTGGCTTGTTTTTTGGGTTTTTTTGGGGGAGAGGAGGGGGAGCTACTGATAAATCATGCAGCAACTTTCCCCCAAAAGGACAAAAAGAGTCACATCCTACCAAAATGCACACACCCAGCACACAACACAGTGAAGAAAAATTGTGTTGGGACATAACAGTCTTCAGGTATATGACTTTAAAGGTCTGAAGAGCGCAAGTCAGGCAGAGACCTAATGTTAGTCAAAACTGGCTAATGATTAAAGTTGCCCTAAGTGGCACTCAGATATCATGTGAGCCTGTGATCTCCATTCTACAAAAACTGTTTGGGGGTCAAGAGATAGCTCAGTGAGTAAAGGCATTTGTCACTAACCCTGATGACCTGAGTTCTATTCCCCAGGCCCACGGAGTGGGGCTGTTGTCCTCTGACCCCCACACTTGCACCTGTGCCTGGAAGAGTGCAGAGCCATGTACAAAATAAATAGATAAGTGCAGTAGGAGAAAAATAATCGTTTAAGTAGAAGTGTAGGTCGGTGACACAAAGGGCAATTTCCAGGTTGGATGGCAAGATGAAAGAAGATTCCTTTCAATGCTGAGTCTCTTTCTCTGAGGGGATAATACTAGGAAGAGCCAAAAAAGCAGAGGGAAAATACCTATCACCTGCACTGTCACATGTATGCTGTATGGGGACTTTGGAAGTATTTTCTTGAACTGATTTCTTAGAAGTAAAATGGATGTGTCAAAGGTTTCATACAAAAATGCCCTGTTGTGAGCTTGTACACCAAGTATTGCTCCCATTTGACTTTTCCACAGCATAGGCAGACAGCACATTGCCCCTCAGCATTACCAACACTGACTATAACTATTTTTCCAACAAGTGGGAAACAATATTCCATTGTCACTTTAATTTACAGTTCTCTTATTAGTCCTGAAATCACATGTTTTGTCACAGACAGGCTGAGTGCAAACTATGTTGTATGCCAAAATATATTTTAAAATTCATGCCATTTGACTTTATTTCTTTTAATCCTTCTCTGGCATAACTTAATTAAAAAATATTTCTGGCCAGGCAGTGGTGGCACACGCCTTTAATCCCAACACTTGGAAGGCAGAGGCAGAAACATCTCTTTGAGTTTGAAGCCAGCCTAGTATACAGACTGAGTTCCAGGACAGCCAGGGCTGTTAAAGAGAGAAACCCTGTTTCGAAAAACAAAAACAAACTAAAATCCTTTTGCCTATAGGTATTTTGCTTGTGTGCATGTCTGTGGGCACCACATGACTGCTTGTTGCCCACAAAAGCCAGAGGAGGTGTCAGAGCTTCTGGAACTGGAGTTGCAGATGGCTGGCTGGGAGCGGCCATATGGATGACACGAATAGAACCAAGGTCCTCTGAAGAGCAGCCATTGCTCCTAACCTCTCAGACATTTCTCCAGCCCCTTGACATTAACTTTAATGCCTTTTGTGCCAAGTCAACCCCTCACTTGCTTTATGATTCCTACTTTTACGATTGGTACAGGCTTCACAGGCTTCAACTGGTCACGCCTGCCATTTCAGCCATTTTCATATTCTTCAGGTCATAAGTAAAAATCAGCCTTTGTCATAGAAATCTTTTTCAGATTAATTCACTTCAGCTTCTTGCCTGACTCCCAGGGCTGTAGGTAGCAATTCAAAACATGCTTTCTCCCAAAAGGCTAATTACAAGGCAGTGTTTCTGCTGTTTGCCAATAACTTGGTTTGTAACCAGGTTATTCTAGCTGAGATGGCTTTCTGATGATTAAGAAATTTTTTGAGTAATAGGAAGGTAAATAACAGCACACTCATTTCTCACAAAAGACCTTATAAAATTCTTTCTCTAAGTCAGATATGGTAGGCCACAATTGTAATGTCAATACTTAGGAGGCTGAGGCAGGAGGATTGTTGTAAGTTCAAGGCCAGCCTGGATTACATTGTAGGTTCAAGGCTAATCTAGGGCACATAAGATAGGGCTTAAAAACCCTAAGTATTTCAAATTTATTCTGCAGATTATTCTTTTTTATCTGAAAATTCAAATTGAACTGGACAGTCAATATTTTATCCGACACGAGACAAGTGGCTACCATATAGATAAATGTATGGTGTCTTATTTCTTACAAAGCCTTCCAAATTTATAGATGCCTGTAAAATCTAAATCAATGAGGAAAACATGATTATGATTTCATTTTTGCAAGAAAAAAATCACCTGACTTCTGAAAGGAGACTATTAGCTGTCCAATCCGGGACTACTAAACCAATCCAATTTAAGTCAACACTTGTTTCCTGGATACCTCATCCATAAGAACAAACAAATAATTCAGCTGTGCTTGCTAGTGTAGACCTGTGCCCACTTTAGTTGATGTCTGTGCTAAACAAGGTGTTGCTGTTTGAAGATCATTCCTAGCTGTGGGAAATAAGGAAGAGTGAGTCTTGAGAGCCTCCACCTCAGGAATTTAAAATCTGGTGGAGAAGTCAGTCACCTCATTTTATTGTATTTTGTGTTGCTTTGTTTAATTAATTGATTAGTTAGTTGGTACTGAAGATTGGTCCTGTGCCTGATAGAAGCTAATACATGCTCTGTCACTGAGCTCCATCCCTTTGAAAAAGGAGCAAGATAAAAAGTTTTTTGAAATGTAACATATTCTAAGGAATATATATATATATCTACAAAATAGTGTAACATATTACATTTTTACATAATACACACACCTGTGAAATAATGTAATATATTACATTTCTATATAACACACACACACACACACACACACACACACCTGTAAAATAATGTGAGCAGTTAGCCACAGAGGGAATCACTGGTGGGGAGGATGCAGGGATGGATATTGTTTGGGATTTTCCTTTTGCCAGGGTGTGAGAAAGTCTACAAATACTTTAGATCCTTGTGGAGTTAAACCAAGATGGTTAGTATTTGTGCTTGTGTAACACAAGAAAAATTTTCCTGCTGTCTGCAAAGAGAACTGGTTTTTCCACCAACAGCTGCCCAAACTGGCCTCCCTTTTGAGGGTCATCTACCCTTGCTTTGCCCTCACTACTGTAACAATTGTTGGTTACAATGCATCCATTCTTTCCTACATCGACTCCTAGATGGGGGTCTCTCATCCACTTCCTTTTATTACTTCCTAGAAATCAACAAACCAACTTTTCCCCTTGATTTGGAGCTTTGACTGTGACTAATAGCTGAATAGCAGTTTATACTGAAGAATCCTTGAAGCTATACACTAGCTATCAGCGAGTTCCTCTTCCAGGAGTGATTTAGCAAAGGAGTCAAGAGGTTTTACCTGCCCCTGGCAGCAGCCAGCATCCAAGCAGTCCAGGACTTGAAGGTGTATGCCTGGCCCCATTCAGGGCTGCTTTGCACAGCCTTCCAGAAGCTCACTCAGCACATGCTCCTATTGCAATAGCACAGCAGGTGAATGAATCCCTCTGCCATTCCTGCCTTCCTTATTCCCCATGATGGTCGCCATTCTGAATTCCCCATTAAAACACTCAGGAACTGATGGAACTGATGGGAGAGGTGGTACATGCCTTTAATCCCAGCACTCAGGAGGTAGAGGCAGGCAGATCGCTTTGAGTTCAATGCCAGCCTGGTCTACAGAGTGAGTCCCAGGACAGTCAGGGCTACATATAAAGAGACCTTATTTAAAAAAAAAAAGCAACTCTCAAAAACAAAACCATATAGAACAAAAACCTGGGAACCAATAAGCTTGCATGTGCATCAGCCTACATGTCTCTTCCTGGGGAAGCTTACCCAAGACATAGATTGTTGAAATATCTCTTAAGTAACCTTTCAGATTCTTAGGACAAATTTCAAGGTTTGTCAAGGCTGGCTTTTTCTACTGCTTAGGAGAAACAGGGGCTTGTTTGCCCCCTTTCCAGACAGATGAGCAAACACTACAGAGGCAGGAGATCGAGCGGTTTCTGGAATGAGAAAGGAAATTTCCTGTGTTGCTTGCATTAAGTGGGAAGACCAGACTGGCGGGTGACTGTAATTAGTCTTCCTTTTCCTCTGTGAATGCAGACTCAGGGGGATCTGCCGATCTTCAGATGCCCTTGAACTGACCCAACCCTGGCAAACAAAATAGTCGCTATTACAGTAGAGGGGGTCCTATGAACCAACTTCACCCTCTGCAGGAATAGCTACTTCCTCCATCCTTCCTCTAAGCTTCTCATTTATCCTCCTAACTAGGTACTCCTGCAAGGCTGAAAGCTGCTCTTAGGAATCCTGGGAGTGGACTTGATACCTCTGATTCATAATAACTTAACTCTGTGAAATTTGACGAATAGTTCTCAGCTGTCATTCAGCCATCTCTCCTCGTGGCTTTGTGCGCTAATTCAGCTTAGTTGCAAAATGGGAATGAGAGAAATTCCCACTCCTACTGGAATAGAAGTTCTGTATATGCCAGGCACTGTCCTGTACTTCACATTGTCTTATTAAAATTCACATTAACCAAAGGTATGTAACACCTGCTCTTTTTCTCTCTGAACACTTTTGTTTGTTTGCTTGTTTTTTTTTGTTTTTTTGAGACAGAGTTTCTCTGTTTCACTTTGTAGACCAGACTGGCCTCAAACTTACAGAGATTCACCTGCCTCTCCCTACAGAGTGCTGAGATTAAAGGCGTGTAGTACCACACCCAACTCTCTGAACACATGGAACACCAGGGTTCAATCAAAGACTTATGCAATTTATTTGTTTATTTAATTTATATGTATATGTTCAGCTGTATTGGGGATCTGACACAAGGTCTTATGGATGCCATTGATCTGCAATCCCAGTCCAGAATTCAGTTCTTTGAGATGTACAACCTCCTCTTCTACAGAAGGTAAATTTAGCTTTGTCTGCTTGGGTTTGTGAAGCTGTATCTTTGGCTAATTCTAATGTTGGCAGTGTTCATATTGGTAGTATTTTGTTTTAGTAATAATCAGATTGATTTTATTCCTAAATCCTTTACAGTCTTAGCTTAATGCTTAATGCTATGTGTGAATCAAAACGAGTTTCTGAAATTGGCATGCTCTATAAGCAGCTACTCAACAGCCTTTTTGTTTCGTTGATTCGCAAATTAATTACGGAGGGTCTATAGTGCCTACAATATACAGAAAGCATTACTGGAGGATGCTAGGGTCCAGTAGTTAGGGCACAAACTGTAAGGACATATTAGTTGAGCCTGAATTCAGGCTCCTGTCTTAGACAACACATTACTTTTATTTTTATTTCATTTTATGTGTATGGGTGTTTAGTCTGCAAGTATGTAAATGGACACTTTTCTTCATTCTGCAGTCATGCAACCGATAATCACTCAGAAGCTCTAAAATTAATTATAATTGTTTGGTCAATGGCTCAGGCTTATTACTAGCTAGCTTTTACATTTAACTTAACCAGTTTCTATTAATCTGTGTATCACCATGTGGCCTGTGGCTTAATGGTGATACTCTGACATCTTTCTCCTCTGGTGGCTGCTGGGGTCTCCCTTGACCCCCTCCTTCTTTCTTCCTGCATTCAGTTTGGCTTTCCTGCCTAGCTATATTCTGCCCTGCCATAGACCAAAGCAGCGTTATTTACCAACCCATAAACACAACACGTTTGCAATGTACAGAAGGACACCCCACATCTTATGTCAGTGCACCACTGTGCGCTTGGTGCTCACAGATGTCAGAAAAGTGCATCAGATCCCCTGCAGCTGGAGTTACAGACAGTTATGAGCCACCATGTGAGTGCCAGGAATCAAACTGGGGTCTACTAGAAGAGCAATGAGTTCTCTTAATCACTGAGCCATCTTTCTGTATTCTGTTTTTTTCCCCCTTAGAGTTTTGCTTACAAAATGAAGATTAAAAGACTTGCTTCCAGCTGGGCATTGGTGGTGCACGCCTTTAATCCCAGCACTCAGGAGGCAGAGACAGGTGGATCTCTGTGAGTTCAAGGCCAGCCTGGTCTACTGAGTAGTTCCAGGGCACGCTCCAAAACAATACAGAGAAATCCTGTCTCGAAAAACCAAAACCAAAAAAAAAAATTAAATAAATAAAAGACTTGCTTCCTGAGTAGTAATTATAAGGTTCAAATAGGCTTCTTTTTTGTAAAGAGCTTGACACACAAGTAACTGTTTGATCAATGGTTGATGTTATTTTACAGAACAAAGTGACTGAAGAATATAAAATGTTTATCTAAATAAAAACAATACACTTTAGAAGGTGATCTATGACACAGAGGTAAAAATAATGTATAATGAAACTTGGGGGAAGAAAAGATTATTTCTAGGTAATAAGGTCAGAGAGGTTTCTTGAATGAAATAACTTTTGAGTTGATATCCATACTATCCACATTAAACCTGGAAATAGTGAGCTGTTGTAAACCAGTTAGTAGGAGGCAGAGTTTAAAATAAGGCCACACAGAGTTTTGAATGACAGAAATAAAACAAAACTTATTCATAGGCAAGTCAAAGGAACACAGAAAAGGAGGGAAAGGAAACAAAAAAAGAGAGAGGCTCTCCATGGTATCTTTTTGACCACAATCCGAGAAGCTACACTGTGACCTAAGTGGCATGCAAGGTCAGGTAGAGGTGTGTGTTCCGCCTATTTCAGCTGGTTAAGTTAAAATTGCCACTGGCTGTCATTGCTGGTAAGTTATCAATTACAAGAGAGTGTGTAAAGGTGACATATGCTTGGATGGGAAGTGGAAAGAAGCATTAGCCAGGTGTTGGTGGTGCACACCTGTAATCCCAGCACTCGGGAGGCAGAGGCAGGTGGAGCTACACAAAGAAACCCTGACTTGAAAAACCAATAAATAAATAAATAAATAAAAATAAATAAAAAGAAAAAAGAAGCATAAATCAAGAAATTGAACAAGAATAGGAGGCAATACAAAATATGGTGAGAAAGAAGAAAGTATTTGCATTCTCAGCTACTAAATGCCAATATGTCAAATGTTTCCATACTTAGTGCATTCACTGTGCACTGACTCTTCCAGACACCTCTAGTCCCTTGCTATTTTGGGGGGATGGAAGAGAACTTGATAATTGAAATGCCAGAAAAATGAAAAGTACTATCAGGAATTATAGTCACAGGCAACAGATAATTATCAGGTTCCTTTGGTGGGTAAGCATTATAAAGAGAAATAAGCAAATAAGCACAGTAAATATCCACACTCCAGTACAAGCTTTAAGTCTAACCTTCACGCACAGTGATTATATCAAAGTTGTATCTGTTTTCACAGTAAAGCTAGTAGGAAAAGTTGTCATGCCGATAAGAATGGTTTTACACTTAATGGTTATTAAGTTATTTACAAGGACTTTAGGTATTCCTACTGGAAACATGTTGACAGGTCATAGTTACTGTTAAGGAAGTTGTGCCCATTGCGATGTGACCAAAGTTTCAGGGTTTAGTAAATAGGAATATTCAACAAAGACAGATAAAACTCTTATACAACCACGCACACAGAAATATCCTAATTTCTTTTTATAGAGACAAAAAATAAACATTTCGATTTATTGGCCTTCTAATTTGCCTCTGTACAATTGGTTTCTTTGGGTTATATTCAAACTTTTCTGTCATAAAGCAACAATTGAAAAAGTATAATCAGCAGTCTCAAGAAGTTAAACAAAAAATCACCCCATAGTCATTTCCTCACTTGCTGACATTAGGTTTATGACTGGAGCTGAACCATTAATTACATTTACGAAAATAGACTTAGCGAACTAATTTTCTTAAACAGTAGAGCGCTAATATTTCAGTATTCTCGCTGTCCCTACTGTATTTGTATTTTAACGTGTTCACAATCTGCCATCTTCATGAAATCTAACAATCATTGGTGTCAAACAAACGCTAAAGATTTAAGTGTAGCTTTTGGTAAGAAAAAAGAGTAGGGAAAGTGCTAACTTCTTTTTAAACGTTTCTGATAAGTTAATATTAATCGTGTAGCAAGACTTCTCTAAGCGGAGTTCATCAAGATACACTGAGTTAACGAACTTTCTAGCTGCTTCCAAACTACTGTTCCTCTCACTGGTGTCTTGGACTAAAGAATGCGGGCTTCAGAGCTCGCTCCAGTCCCGGGCTGAGGCTACAGCGTATCCACGCTCTGGTGCGGTTGCGTACGTTTAAGAGCTTCCCGCTCTCACCGGTTGGATTAAGATTTGTAACTGCCATCTGGCTCATAAATTTGTCTTCCTACTCTGTCTGGTGCCCCCTGGTGCTCATCACAACTATAATCTTAGGTAGTAGCAAAGGTGGTCCAGGAAGCATTAAGGATATTTTGAAGAAAATAATTCCATTACTGTAAACTGTACGGATCTAGGTTTCCCGATTGGTATAAATTACATATGGACACAAATGCAAGGCTAGTAAAGAAAGGGATTAAGCCACTGAGGGATAAACAAAGCAAAAGATAAATAAATTTTACTCAACTATGCCCTCTCAAGTTTGTAATCTTCGAATCCGACTTCCTCCCATGCCTGTCACCCCTCCCCCCGCACCCCTCCCCCGCACCCCTCCCCCGCACCCCTCCCCCCGTGCCTCCCCCCCCTCCCCCGGTTAAGTTTCTGGCAAAGCGAAGAGGGTTCGCCCTGATCCTGGGTTTTATTTAGTAGGCAGCCCATCTTCGCAGCCAAAGTACTTGTTTGCGAACTGGAGCCGAGCATGTGGTGTTAAGTTGTTGTGGAGGGGAGAAGGATGGAATATATTGTCTTCCCTAACGCATTTAATTAACAGCGATCTTTTTGTGTACTCTTCACAAAGTTTCCCTGGAGCCTTCGAGCTCAGGCTCTGGTTATCCAGCTTTGCCTTCCTCTCCACTCCCACACCCCTAGTCACTCAATACTAAGGAGGCTCTCCATTAAAGGCGAACAAATAGATCATTTTTCATTGCATGGCAGCCCTATGAGTTATTTAAGCAGAACATGACGGAAGTCTCTCGTTCTCTCTCTTTTTTCCCTATCTTTCACTTCTTTTGCAGTTGATTCCTAAATAATGATTTTGGTAGGGAGCACTGACTTTGGGATGGAATTGAGCGACCCACGATTACGCTCCCATCAGGCTTTCAGAAGGGGCGGTTTTCAAAAAAGGAACTACAATTCCCAGGAGGCACTAGGCTAGAGCAATCGCAGGGCATCACGGAAGTAGTAGGAGCCTTCCACCCTGGTCCCTTTCACGGTTTCTACCCTGAAACTACAAATCCCATTGTGCCTCGAGCTCGGCGCGCCTGCGCGAGAGCCCCCGAGAGCGATGTGGGCGGGGCCGCCCCGGGCAGCGGGGGGCGGGGTCCAAGCGGGCTGTGTGGAGGCTTCAGACATCGGCGCCATTTAAAGCGGAGAGTTTCCCGGGCGGACGCGCTTCTTCTGCTCGGCCATTCCGCCCTCCCTTCTTCGCTGACAGAAGGCGCCTAGTGGGGTGACTGCTCTTTCTCTCCCTATCCCCCTCCTCCCAGTTCTTTCGGTCTTCTCTTCTCCGGGCCAGAGAAGTAGCGGAGCACGGGCCCCGCTGTGAGCGGCCCTCCCCTCCCCACAGTTCCCTCCCTCCTCTGCCGCCGGCGCCGGCCAGAGAGGGGAAGAGGTTCGCCAGGCCCGGGGCGGGCGGGGAGGCCTCGGGGACGGGGGGGGCCGCTCCTCAGGCTTCGAGGTTTCGAGGCTCCGGGCCTCGGCTTCTGGCGATGGGTGCCCTGTGAGACTGGTCCCCTCTCCGGGGCGCGTGCTGCCTGAGGCGGCGGCCGAGCGACCGGGAGCCCGGGCCGCGGCCCTCCTTCCCCTGCGCGGCCCCTCCCACCCCTGTGCCCCGGGCTGCCACCGCCCGGCGTCGGGGCTCGTCCCTCGCGCGCTCTGCCTCCGCCCTCAGGGCCTATCCCGCCGTGCTCGGCGGGCGGCGGGCGGCGGCGGCGGCGGCCGCGGCGGGAGCTTCGGCGTCTTCGCTTTCGTCGCATCCGCTCGCCCGGGAGCCAGCCCCGCGCCCTGCCCCTCATGACTGCGGCGCTTGTGCTGCCACAGCCCTACCGGCCACCGCTCGCTGCAGGATGGATGCGGACTGTGCGGCGCTAACCCCCGTGGCTCCGCTCCTGCCTCGCCCGCCCCGTGAGCCGCAGCAGCCCCGGTGCCAGCCGCAGCCGCCGCAGCCGGACCCCGAGTCCCGCGTCGCCCTCGGGGCGTCTCGTCAGTGCTGAGCGGGAGTCATCCGGTGGCTGCGAGCCCGCCGCCGTAGGAGCGCTACCCGGCCCTTCTTGGTGGCTCTCCCGGGCCTCCCCGTCCCCCTTTGATTCACGAATCCGAGCCCGCACTCGTCACTCCAGCGAACCAACCATGTCTGACGGCGCCGCCGAGAAGCCGAGCGGCACTCCGGGCTTCCTGTCGCCTCCGGCGCCAGTCCCCAAGAATGGCTCAAGCTCCGATTCTTCCGTGGGCGAGAAGCTGGGGGCCGCGGTCGCCGACTCTGGCGTCGGCCGAACCGAGGAATACCGGCGCCGCCGGCACACTATGGACAAGGACAGCCGTGGGGCGGCCGCCACCTCCACCCCCACGGAGCACCGCTTCTTCCGCCGGAGCGTCATCTGCGACTCCAATGCCACCGCGTTGGAGCTGCCGGGCCTGCCCCTTTCGGCCCCCCAACCGAGTAGTGTGCCCGCAGCGGTGCCCCAGAGTGCTCCGCCCGAGCCCCACCGAGAGGAAACTTTGACCGCCACCGTTGCTTCCCAGGTGTCTCAGCAGCCCGCAGCTGCTGCCTCCCCTGGGGAACAAGCCGTTGTAGGCTCGGCCACCACCACCACCGCCACCACCACGACCGTCCCCAGCGGTATCAGCAAAGACCGCCCGGTGTCCCAGCCCAGCCTCGTGGGGAGCAAAGAGGAGCCACCGCCGCCCAGAGGTGGCAGCGGCAGCGGCGGCGGCAGCGCTAAAGAGCTGCAGGAGGACCGGCAGCTACAGGATGATATCGAAGAGCTGGAGACCAAGGCCGTGGGAATGTCCAACGACGGTCGCTTTCTCAAATTTGACATCGAAATCGGCAGAGGGTCCTTTAAGACGGTCTACAAAGGTCTGGACACCGAAACCACTGTGGAAGTCGCCTGGTGTGAATTGCAGGTAATGCCCCACCTCCTTTCATAGTCGGTCGTTAGGATCCCAAATTTGGCTCGGTTAAGCCAGCTTACCATGTTCATTCTTTACTTGTAATTCTCTGAATCTGAGTGGGAGGAGGAGGCCAGTTTCCGAAGAGGTTGAAATTGGGAAGTTGTGGAGTTTGTAGTTAGGTGTCTGGAAAAAGATAAGAACTATTGGTGTCAAGAGGGATTGCTACCGATCGTGAGGTGAAAAGTCATTAAGTACTAACTTGGGTTTTAATATCTGGCTGGAAACGTGTAATTAGTGGGGAAGGGTTTCTCCTTCCCACCTTCTTGAATTGAGCATTGAACCCCGGGCCTGGGTAAGTGCTCTCCCACTGAACTATATATATCCTCAGCCTTTGGGGAAATTTTTTGCTTTAAGTAAGTATCAAACCTTTTTTCTCCTGTTCACTTCAGTCTCATCAGAGTCTCTGCAATAATGAACTGCCTTGTATGTTTCCCTCTCTGAGATCAGGTTGTCAAATAAGACCCTGTGCCTTAAGATCCAGCTTATTTGATAGTAGCATAGATATTTAGTAAATGACAAAACAGAAGTGCCTTCCAGGTGTGTTAGGATGGGCCTGTAAATCCCCACTACTCAAGAGGCTGAGGCTGGAGAATCTCAAGTTCAAGGCCAGTCTGGGCTTCATAGTGAGACACTGTCTTAAAAAAAAAAAAAAAACAGCTGGGCGGTGGTGGTGCAAGCCTTTAATCCCAGCACTCGGGAGGCAGAGGCAGGTGGATCTCTATAAGTTCGAGGCCGGGCTGGTCCGACAGCCTCCAAAACAATACAGAGAAACCCTGTCTCGTTTAGAAAAAAAAAAGTAAAACAACAATGCAGTCCCTGATCCCCAACTTTCTTGTCTCTTTCCATTTAAGGATGAGTGCTTTGGGACTAGGATGGTACTGTATGCATCTGCTATTATTCCACCTATAGATGCTTAAGCCATGTGGCTCCTGTGATCTGACACTGTTGATTAGAGTGACTGTCTTCATCCTGTTCAGTCAGTAGGGAATAGTAAAGGTCCATACAAAATTGTAGAAGTGCTTTCAAAGTTGTGTTATTACCATCGTTGTTGTAATCTTGTTATAAAAGATTTTTGTGACAGTGTCCTGAAGTATAGCCTAGACTGGCCTGAAATTGTTGGTTCCTCTTGCCTTAGTCTTCAGAGTACTAGCATTACAAGTTTGTGCCACAATGCCAGGGATATAAAAGATTTTTAAACCAAACTTTCCCTAATCTCATAGGGAAGTTTTCACTTTATAAATAAAGTATAGCTATAGTCTAGATTTAAACAGATTAGTTTGGGCTACAAATTTACTGATTGATAGACTTATATCAACGATAATAAATATTAGAGAGCACCTATGTAAATATCAGTTTGTTAGCTCTTGTTCTTACCAGGAAATCAACATGTGTTAATGGTGGATGCAAAATTTCAGCTGTATTATAGATGAAAGTGTCACTACTGATTTCTTTTCAAGAAAATAGACCAAACCGAAACAGTATTGGAAAATAAAACTGAAATAATCTCAGAACTTCATTTACCTAAGAACTACTAGTAAGTAAACAATTTGGTTTGTAAATGACCCAAGGTCATATGAAATGTGAAAGGAATAATGTCTTGAATTTGCTTCAAAATATCTACTGAGGGTGAGAGAATGTAGCAGTCATCCAACTTCAACAATTACCAGTACATGATTGTTCCATGCAAGGTAGTTGATCAAGCTTTCCTCTCTACTTTCCTATATGCCTTAAATTTCTTCTAACGGAAAAAAAAATATCTCTGTGTGGCCCCCCTAGCTGTGTAGTCCTAGTTATTTTGGAACTCTGTCCAGCTCTAGACCAGGCTGGCTTCAAATTCACAGAGATCTGTCTGCCTCTGCCTCCCAAGTGCTGGGACTAAAGACATGTGCCACCCTACCTAGCTATTTTTTTTTAAATGAATTTATCAAAATATGCTTGGTCAGTCATACTCAATAGTTTAGATGTAATTGATTTACAGGAAGACACTTCTTTTTTGTAACAAGGATTTATTGTTACTGATCCTGGAATTTAATTCTATTACTGTTTCATTTATGAATGATTGTGTGCTTCTACTTTTTATTTTTATTATTACAACTATTTACTTAGAGACAGCCCAGGCTAACTTGAATCCACTCTGTATATCAACCTGGCAACCAATTTAAAGCTGGTCCTTCCCAACCACCCATTTTAAAGTACTGAATTCATTAAGCATTGAGAATTTTATGGGTTAACTTTGTTAGCTATTCACCTACCAAATATGTATGTATATATATTTTTTTGTTCTAGGGATTGAACTCAGAACTTTTTGCATGCTAGGCAAGCTCTATAACATAACACTCAGAAACACTCAGTTATTTCACATTTAAAAGGACTTCTCAGACTATGGTTTGTTTGTTTTCTCTTTGTTCTGGACTGATAGTTTATTGTCTTGAATCTAATAATACAGTGTAAAAAGCTCAATTTGTCTAATGTCACAACAATAAAACTCTTCAGCTCTTCTCAGAATGTATTACATCTTTTCACTAAGTTCTTTATGTAGCTGTGGGTGTGATCAAACTAAGGAACATTTTTTTTTTTTCAAGACAGGGTTTCTCTGTATTGTTTTGGAGGCCGTCCTGGAACTCACTCTGTAGACCAGGCTGGCCTCGAACTCACAGAGATCCGCCTGCCTCTGCCTCCTGAGTGCTGGGATTAAAGGTGTGCGCCACCAATGCCCGACTTACTAAGGAAAATCTTACCTTTATTATTTTTAATCCAAGTCACCATTTAGGAGCAGAACCAAATGGATTTTAGCTTATAGAGTGAAGTCCTGGTTTTCAGAACGTTTCTTGCCCTTTAACCAAGCTTCTGAAAATATTTCATTTTTGGCTTAAAATATTGCCTTTTATATTAAAAACAAACATGTGACTTGTAGTATAAGAGTACTTTATAGCAGTAGTCAGGCAATAATTTTGGGGTTTTTGTTTTTGTTTCATTTTGTTTTTGATCAAAGTATTAGTTGGTCAGTATTTTTTTTACCTTTGGACCCAAATTAAAGGACAGACCTAAGGATAAGTAAAGCTTTGGAAAGAAAAAATACCTCTTTTTTACATTGAATGTTTCTCCCATTCCCCGATTACTAGCAATTGAACCTAGGGTATTACATACTCTACCACTAAACTATATCTCCAACCTGAATATATATTTGAATATAGTTTTATTTAGTTTTTTTTCCAAGACAGGAATAGTGTTCTGTTCCATTAAGTTAAATATCTGAACAGTTTTTTTTTTGTTGTTGTTTTGAGTAAGGTTTTGCTGTATTGCCCAGGTTAGCGTTGAACTCCTTTTACCTTCCTAGCAGTGCTGCAGAAATGGGATGTGGTTCTCTGACTCAAACCATAATTTATTCCTTTGCCTCCTCCCCTCTCCCCCACACATAGCACTTGGGAGGCAGAGGCAGGCGGATCTCTGTGAGTTCAAAGCCAACCTGGTCTACAGAGTGAGCTCCAGGACAAGCTCCAAAGCTCCAGAGAAACCCTATCTTGAAAAACCAAAAGAAAAAAAGTGTGATTGGTGATTTTCAAATAATACTTTGTCCATTTAAAACAGAATGGATTGAAACAACATGATTTTGGTTAGGTAAGATTGGATTTAAGGGCCGGGCGTTGGTGGCGCACGCCTTTAATCCTAGCAATCGGGAGGCAGAGGCAGGTGGATCTCTGTGAGTTCGAGGCCAGCCTGGTCTACAGAGCGAGTTCCAGGACAGCCTCTAAAACAATACAGAGAAACCCTGTCTCGAAAAACAAAAACAAAACAAAACAAAAAAAGATTGGATTTAAGGGGTGCGGGAGGAGGGGAGGGAACTGGGATTGACATGTAAAACAAGCTATTTAAAATTAAAATAATAAAAAAATGCAAAAAAATTGGATTTAAGATGTATGTTAGCTTGGGGTGGTGGTGCAAATTTGCAGCCTTAATAAGTCATTTAGCAGAGCCAGGATTTGAATGCAGGCAATGTAGTTTTTAGGAGGCTGAAACAGGAAGGTCTTCTATAAGTTTAGGATCAGCCTGGGCTACACAGAATGGTGATATACTGTTCTAAATAAAACAAAACAAACCCCCAAATATGTATTTGTTGATGTAGGAGATAACTGTTGTTGAGAATTGTATTTTGTTGACTTTTAAAAAATGACCTTTTTTACAGTTTCACAGAATTTAAATGTTGCCGGGCTGTGGTGGCACATGCCTTTAATCCCAGCACTTGGGAGGCAGAGGCAGGCAGAACTCTGGAGACCAGCCTGGTCTACAAGAGCTAGTTCCAGGACAGCCTCCAAAGCCACAGAAAAACCCTGTCTCGGAAAACAAACAAACAAACAAAAAGAATTTAAATGTACATGCCTTTTATCCCAACACTCTAGAGGGCAGAGGCAGGTGAATCTCTGTGAGCTCAAGGCCATCTGGAGTTTCAGGACAGCCAGAACTGTTCACAAGAAACCTTGTTTCGAAAAACAAAAAACAAAACAATAACAAAAAACCTGTAGGTCAAAGCTTGGGCCATGAATATTAACTGTGATTATGTGGTGCTGTATTTATGTTGTTGTTTTGAGGTTATCTATGAAGACTTGATTTGTTTACACTTACCTTTGAAGAGTCATGTGGCAAATCTCTTACTCTTCTATTCTTAAGAGGAACATTAGAGTTGAATGTGATGTTGGTGCTTTCAAATTCCTTAGCTTCACATGGCTTTTGCCTGTAACATTCTGATATAATCTATCAGTTTCTCAAATGCCAGCTTCGCTGGACTCCTTGTTTCTGGAGTCTACTGAGAACTTTGTTGCATCCCCCTTACATATAGTTGGAAAGTATTTTTCTCTTTGGATTCCATATATAATTCTTAAAGTAATGATACTTACTTGAAGTTATTTACATGCTTTTGTTCATTTCATTGATCTTTGAAAAGTTCATACTATGAC